TGACTGCTTCAGGGAGGATTCGCCTTTCCATTTGGGTTTAGGATCTTGCACATTGGCTCTTGCCTCTGCGTGTTTCTCCTTTCCCGTCTGGTTGGGCTTTTCGCGATTTGTGGTCGCGGTGGTTTCAGGTCTGGCATAGCATTCTGGCCTGTAGGCTGGAGCTATCCTCAGCCTGTTTTTCATCTCGTCCATGCGAGATGTTGTTCTGAACATCTCCTCGAAAGAGGAGAATCCCATTTTGATTATTTCCTCCTTGCATTCAGGGAGGATGTTTTCCAGAAACCTAGCATTAAGCGATGGTTCTGGGTAGGACTGTCTGGGTCCTCTTCCTGCATTGTACTTTACATTGCAGTATTTTTCCATCACCTTCAATGTGGCGGGCTCCTTGATATATGTCCTCATTAGAGTATCGAGAACTTCAAGAAATTTCCCCCCTTTATCTCTAAGGAGGGCTTCTTCACGGAGTTTTAGTCCGTGTGAGAGTGCAGGCTCTGCCAATCCACCAATGAGACAATCCAGATGGATTTCATCGTAGTGTGCACCTCTATATCCTCGTGATGTGAGGAATCCTAGCAGTGTGGTGTACCACTGCCAGAAAATTTCTGTATCATTTTCGCCTGACCACTTCGTGTCAGGGAGTCGAGTAGGACCATTATTTAACCAGTCCCACTTCACCCTGTCTATGTGTGGGGTGAAAGTTAGAAGTTTGGCCATCCGTGTGGCCTTGTGGTACCATCTTTCGAGGTGCCCATTATCCTCCAGCAATGTTTTGCTGGAAGTTTTCCTTGTGAAGTTTTCACGAGGGTTTGTTTGGTTCTCTCCAGCATTACTGGAGGGGTTTTGCAGAAGGTTACTTCCACTTATCCTTTGCCTGGGTGAAGTGACCGAGGAGGGCCATTTATCGCCTAAGATGGGGCCTGGTGTTGATGGTTGCCCACTCATTTGTGGGTTCTCCTTACTAGGCTCCTTCTTCTGCCACGTTGCACTCCTACAGACTTCGGTGACCTCATCCGAAGTTGGTGACTTCGCTTTTTTTGGCAAAAGTTTTGGGTTCGGCCTTGGCAGCAGTGGCTTCCCCTGAGCCTCTGTGCTCTCTGAGCATCTGCCCTTGACCTTTTCTCCTATTATTTCTCGGGCCTTTAGCCTGAGAAGGAGTTCTTCATCACTTCCTGTCCTCCATTCGGATGGGACCTGGAAAAAGTCCACTTCGGGGAGCTTCCCCATCCTCCTGCACCTGGTCCCTTTGCTGTGTCCATGCTGGGTCCGAGGCCATCTGAGGACAGTCCAGAAGTGAGCTCAACCTGTGAGTCTGTGTCGATCTGGATGACATGGCCTTTATATCCATGTTGGAGTGTGTACACTCGTTCTCAGACAGAGCGCTGAGTGTCTCACAGTGGTTGTGAGATGGTGTTGGTGGTGTGGAAGTTTTTTCCACATTTCCTCCACTCAGGACTGGCTCCCTGCACAAGCGGGGGTCGTCCCATGAGGGTTTTTGATGATTCCCAGTCTTATAGACTGGGGTTTGAACCGGCTCATGCCTAGGCGGCGAGCTGGATGTCTCACTATAGTTGCAAGACGGTAACGACGATGTGGAGGTTTTTTCCACATTTTTTGCAATCAAAGATGGCTCCCTGTGCAAGCAGGAGTTGTTGTTCAATTGTTTTGCACGATTCCCAGTCACATAGACTGGGGAGTGAACCAGCATGCTGCGATTTTGCGGGCTGGACGTCTCACAGTTAATGTGAGACGATGTAGACAATGTGGAAGTTTTTTCCACATTTTTTGCGATCACAAATGGCTCCCTGTGCTGGCAGGAGTTGTCGTTTGATCGATTTGCACAACTACCCATCGCATAGACTGGGGAGTGAACCGGCTTGCTGCTATATCGCAAGCTGGACGTCTCGTGGCTGATGCGAGACGATTCCGTAGATGTGGACGATTTTTCCACATTTTTTGGAACTCCAAACGGCTCCCTGCACCAGCAGGAATGGTCATTTGGTTGTTTATGACAACTTCCAGTCGCATCAACTGGGGAGTGAACCAGATTGCTGCTATATTGCAATCTGGACGTCTCGCGTTTAATGCGAGACGATGCTGGACATGTGAAAGATTTTTCCACATTTTTTGGGATCAAAAACGGCTCCCTGTGCCAGTGGGAGTGATCGTTTGATGGTTTTGTGTAACTCCCAGTCAAATAGACTTGGGAGTGAACCGGCTTGCTGCAATCTTGCAAGCTGGATGTCATGCAGGTGACTTGAGACGATGTGGACAATTTTTCCACATTGCTTGGGGCCACAAACGGCCCCCTGCGCCAGCAGGAGTTACTGCTGTTTTTGTCAGTGTCTTGCACCAAGTGAGAGGTTCCCTGAGGATAGTGGGACTTCTTTTGGCGTGTCTGACCCAGCCCTTAAGGCTGTTAGTGTGGCAGCCGCGCGCTTACGTGTGCGCATGTTTGCCTCCTCACCCAGTGGTGAGAACTCTCTCTTTCTAGGAGAGATCATGTTGGCACATGGGGTTCTAAGGGTATTGTTCCCCGCATTTACCCCATGTAAGTTTTTGGGATCCTCAGGGTTTGTCCCTGAGGTCCTACCAATATGTGGCAGGTCTTCGTCATCATCCGATGACACAGTGTTTAGGTTATCTCCCAAATTGGGAGATTGTGGCTTTTTAACAAAGCCACCCTTTGTTCTCGCTGCAGATGCAAGCTTCCCCGTTTGGGGGTATGACGGTGCCATGTCAGGCGCTGTCCCTGGAACAGATGTAAAAAGGATGTGTAGATTAGTTTTAATCACACCTCATGCACTTAAAAAAGTGTGAGGTCTGTGGGGCTCGCTCAGGTCACCAGGCCGTAAGTGTCACAAAGGTGTGGGTATTATGGGGTGATAAGCAATAGGTCTCAACCCGTCGCCTGTCACGTGACACTAATCTACAACGGGACTACATGTAATGGGGGCCCAGGGCTTGTGCCCTGACAGGTTGCCCCAAAAAAAGTTACTGGATTGTTTGTCTTGCGTATTAACCTGTAATGGGAAAATTCAATCTCTCTGATATGCTCTCTACTGATGACCGCTACGATTTCAAAGTAAGGGAGGATTGATATATCGCGAACTTGGGTTTTTAATCGATTGGGCACTTAATATATCTTGCACCTGGGTTTCCAAAGTAATGGGGCCTTTATATATCTTGAACCTGAGTACCATTCCACATTCTGCACCTCTCACATCGCATGCACTCTCTGCAACATGATTGAGACTCAAAATCGTGGGCTCTCTTATTGCCACATCACACTGGTGCATATTCGATACAACAAAACAGATTTGACTGAAGGGAATGGCATGACAGATTGCGACTTCCATACACCTCCAACCCGAACAGGATGGGGGAGGGGAGACAGGGATGACAGTGGTTCTTTGGTGAGGATTTCGCTGTCCTTGATCCTTTAAAATGTGCATCTGATGTCTGGTTGTGTGTATGAGGTAGTTTTTCCTTAAACATCGACGGGGGGAGTGATTGATTTATTGTGGGACTACTTAGACACCGTGGGACTCTGTCTTCAATGTAAACTCCATACTGAACCGAATGAATTACCGATGTGGTTGAGTAGCGGGTTCTGCCACGTCAGGCGGCACCCACCAGTTATTAAATAATGTTGCAGCCATGCCGGGCGTCCATGCCTTGCCCCATGCTACACGTGCCTCATTCAGAATTTGGGTTTTTTTTTTTCGTTTTTCGCGAGGACTTGGGATTAAATGGAGGTGCATTCTGGTTTCCATCATGTCTGCCGCACACCGCAAACTCTCTTTAACCTCGCTTGCAGCATACCTACTTATCGCCTTTCAAATGCTGATTCGGTACGTTGTGTTCTTTTCTTTTGTTCACGTCCTGTTTGGACTTGTGCCATGCGTGTTTGGCCTCTGTGCCATCTTCGCACCTACCGATGTGCTTTCACCTCAGTTCCTTGCGCCTTCTCCACCAGCGATCACTCAATCTTGTCCTTAAACTGGGTCGCTCAATATTCCAGAGGCTTCGACGTTTGTCAGGGTTGTCGCCAGCCACACTACTCTATCGCTCCGAGTCGCCCGTTGTGCTACTTAATAACCAATCGCTCGCTTGGGCGAAATGTCGAATGTGTGGGGCCATGCCCTTTCCTCGAGTACTGAGTTGTGTGGTTGTCATACAAGACTGCCTGGCAACTGTTGGCTGCCTCCCCTAGGACCTCACCGAAAAAAAAAACCCCTAAGTGTGTATTTTATTTACTATTAAATTGCTTTTTCATGTGGAAGCTTCAAGCATCCCCCACTTCGCTCCTGAAGCGAGTTTCTTGTTAAATGTTTGTTTGCATATTCACCCATGTATATCCTTAACGTTTCACTGATTCATATTTTCAATGAAAGGGCTAAGAGAACCAAACCGGGTCGTTGGTAATTTTTTCTGGCCTCAATGTTGCACGAGACTGCCTCGAGTCGAATCCAATTGTACACATCTCAATATTGTCGTCCAACTCCAAGCAAACATTGTATTCTCAACACTTCGCCCAGAAGCCGAAACTTTCGAATTGCATGCCTGCTTTGCTTTGCTTCTAAAAAGTATGTTTATCAGTACATACTATTTCATCTTTACCCAGACAAGGATCCTTCCTCATTCTGTCTCAGTGTTTGCTCGCTCTGTAGCCATGGCATTACTCGATTGAGAACGTTCGGCATCAAAGGCGCTAAAGGCACATTCTTGCGTGGCTAATGTTCTTGCTGTCGCGGCATGGGGAACACCAACTCCATGTGTCATAAGACCAAGTCAGGATGCATCATGCCTCGGTCTTGTTATATATATATATATGACACACGCCCTATAGCCTCCATCATATCTGATAGTGCAAACGAGTTTCTTACTCAACATCATTTTCACAACTTTGTAGGGATGTGTCCAGCCCTTAGATTGCCAGCCTTGTGACGCATGCCACCGCATGCATGTTGAATGCATCCCCTGCCTGATAAAGATTTCAAATGTGGTCAAAGTACGCGTTCGTCATTGTAGTGAAGGTCCGTATGATAGGCAAAGCACTGAGAATAACTTTGTAGAAATCGACCAGAGCTCAGGAGTGTCTGGAGGAGGTCAGGGCCTTGACTTCAGGCGACCCCACATGTGTTGAGATAGGTACGTCCCTCTTTCTGAATGTTATCATCCCTTCTCCATTTCTCTCTGTTCAATAGCGCTGCTCCCCAGAATGCGAGAGTTCCTTTCATATCTGCAATTGAGCCTTGGAGATACAACGGGTGAGCCTGTGGCTGACATGAGAATTCCCCCACCATCTGCTATCGTTTCTCCGACAGCGGTATTGCCATCCACAATTCATGGATGGGTAAACCAAGTGGGGACTATTTCAGCCATCGAGGGATCCTCCATCATAGTTCCACTGGCAAACGAACTCGGAAATGTGCCACTTACTAATGCTCCTGCAGCCTTCTACCCACCTTCTACCTTGGGGTTATACAAATACATCAGGAACATCGACCAATCGTCTGTCTTGGATTTTGGTTCACTCCCCTATCCTGCAGCTAGCTCTTCCACTAGTGAGTTTATTCCCCATAGCTCCGCTTCCCTCCTCCAGCAAGTGATTCCCGTGCAAGAGAGGGTATCCTGCAGCGAAAATTGGGATTTTCTGATGCTAGACATTACTGTTAACTATGAGCTTGCAGGGCCATCTACTGCGCTCCGTTCACAATCAGATGCCTCCCCTCATGAAACTCGTGGTGAGACTCTGGGAAATGCTGCGAGTTGGAACGAGGATGCTGTGAGTTGCCTTAGAAGTCTAGCTTGGAGTATGGGATACTGCCTTATCCCTCGCGGAGCGGCCATTCCTGGTGCTGGTGCTCTTGTATAGGGGAATTTGTTTGAGGCTAAGTGCCTTGTGTTTCCCTGCACGACTCAATGATGACATGAATTATTCATGTGGGTAGCAATTCTCTGTACCCTTTCTTGAAACATCATCAATGGTTTGGAAATTTGTAAATTCTGCGCTACCTTGAATCTTCGAGTGCTTTTACAGACTCACAATGAATGTACTTGTTTTCAACCCCTGTGCCTCCATGTTTGCTAATATATATATCCGACTCATTGCTTGCTCCTAAGGCAGTCAACACACTTCATTTCCCCAGAACACTTTTCCTACGATGCAGCTCTGCGTTCATGTCATTCCCGAATCCTCACATGAGTTGAAAGTGATTTGAAACATAGATGGTGCATTCTTTTCAAAATCAAGTTGCAATATACTCATGTGTTTGGAATTTCTTTTTCTTTCCTTTTTTGTTCTACTTTACCACTAACCTACAAGAATATGTAGATTACATATGTAACTGAAGAATTCAACAATGCACGAAAGGCAAATTGATAACTCGTTGCTTATTCCACTTCTTGCCAGGACCCTGCTTTCTCCTCCTGGGTTTTCACCCTCGTAATTCCTTGTATGTCACGTGGGATCCTTTCCTGCTTGGGACTGAAATAGAACCTGGGGTGATCGGGAATTTTGGAGGTGTCAAACAGCCAATCCCCTGTTCACACACCCGTCCGAAAGATATCCATAATGTCCATCCATCATTAGCACCAATAGAGTAGCCTGTGAAACTCACCACTCCCTCCACCCTCATCAAGGCTATTTTTTATTTCAGAACTCGCTGGCCCACAGTATCCATTAGCCGATGTTTGACCTGCCCATTGAGATAGCCTCGGATGGCCATGTCCTGGTTGCGTTCCCTGAAACCTGCTCATGTCAACAGGGGCCCATGATTGGATACTTGGTACCTGGGTTGCCCCTAGCAGATGTAAGAGGACATCAGTCAAGAAGCCTTCCCACCACATGAGCCAGCATAGATGTGAACTCCAAGTGTTTCAGGACAGAATCATCAAACTGACCGGAACTGTTCCAACTCACTTGCTTCCCCCGGTGACTTCCTCTTGATGCTCCTCGAAAGCACACTCCTTTAGGATCATTACATGGAGTCGGTTCAACAGGACACCCGCGGCAATGATGACATAATGGGCCTGCCATGCCAGCACTCGGTGTTCGCCATGTCGACCTCACAAAGTAGGGGCACTCGCACTTGAATGACTTCGATGCATGCATGGGGTTTACAGTATCAGACTGAGGTGCCAAAGAGTCTGCGTGTGGTTAGACTACAGAAAAACGTGCCCCCTAATATTTGGGAACGCCCCAGATCCATGATTAGCCCTCAGGGTGCATTGATCATCCAGGTGGTGGCATGAAGCTGACGCTCCAGGCTTCGCACATGAAGCTACACTGAACTCATGTGCATAATGTTCTTTCAGGTTTAACTCATCGGAAATACATGAATGATCATGATAGGTATGTTTCCACCAAGATTTTCGCACAGAACTCGGTGTCTAAATGAACCATGTAATGGCCATGGTGCTCTGGAAGGATTGACAGATAGCCGCACACTGTTTTAAAGATAAAAGGCTATGACGCCTCGACATGTAAGTAAATTGCTAAGCTTACCTCTGGTTGATCGCGAGCTTGTAGCGGATTGCCTTATACAGAATCCCCTGAATTACAACAATGTATTACCAGTCACTGGTGAGCCTTGTGATAAGTATGTAACAACATTGTTTGGGAGTGAAATGAAGGGCCCGTAAGACGGAACCGGAATGAGTAGCGGGTACTGCCGCTTCAGGCAGCGCTCATCCGCAGGCCAGCATCGATAGGTTAATTAAGCGCCAGTTTTCAGATGGCGTCCACTAATTATTTCCGAAAAGGGTCGCACCTAGTGCCTTGTGGCACAATAATGCACTGGCTCCCCAACACGTGCTAAAGCACCCATATTCATGCTATGTGACGGCAATCTGGAGCCCTCTATGCTTAGTTACATCCTCCACATACATATGTCCCGGGTGTCTCTGGTGTTTCGCATTCCCAACACGATAAATTCAAGATGGCAGATTTTCTGCAAACGGCTGTAAAAGGCCCTCACGGGATACATCATTTCGCGCCAAAAAGTCAGTTTCGGCCCTTCCCTGACTCAGACCTCGGGCACTGTGTGCCGACTTTCGCCCTTCAGGGGCTCGGAGTATGCTGGGGTTTCCAAAGTGTTTCCAACACAGCCAGTTGTTGTTACATTTACAGTTCGCATTCCTCGATCGGCTTGGGACTGTGCATCTCACGTCCTCCTACTCTACTAAACACACCGAATTCGCAAAGTGGTAGGCATGCTCAAGCTGTTCCATTAGATGCCTTGGCCCCAGAAACACAAATGGAAGAAGAACCTGTGCACATCGGAGGTTTGTCAGTGGAAGTCACCGAGCCTGCCTTCGGGAATTCTCCAGGAAACTTGACGGCTCCCCAGCAACATCTGCACGTGAGTCACGAAATTCAACTCCCGCTCCCAAATCAGTCAGCTCCAAAGAGATCCAATTTGGAGATTGGGCTGTCAGTGAGTGAGCCCTCCACTAAACGTGCACCCACAACTCTCGCGGTTCATCCCAGTGTCCTGGACGAAGCCACCCACATAACACTTGACACACTTGTCGTGGAGACCATGTGCAAGTTTGCCGAACTTGTCCCCAGAAATGAATTTTGTTTTCTTCTTCTCAACCAAATCAGATGGACTACTCGACTCGAAAAGGTTACCGCCACTGGATGATTTAATCGCACAACATCCGGAGTTGGGGGATAGGTCAGATGAAGCATGGGAGGCTCAATCGTTCAAGGAGATACGATGCTTGGGTATGCACCGTAGGCTTTGGACATCATTGCTGGCTCTGATAAACTGTGATCGTTACATAAATTCTTTTTCCAACCGCCCAGCCTGCGGATCCTCCCGACCCTGAAGCGATACTTGATTCTCAATCATCTGAAGATGGTGGGCAGAGCATCGCCTGCTTGTGTCATTCCTTTCCGACCTCCTTCCAGCGGCAGTCAAGTTGTGGTCTTCCAAATACAGAAGAGACGCTGCCAACATTCTACATGATGAGACAAGATATTGCTGATACATATGCTCACCTCTTCCCAATCGTACAGTCCTCTGGCATGGGGAAATCGCGAATGGTCGACGAGTTCTCCAAGAAGTCCCCTTCAATCTCTGTCAGGGAGCTGAAGGTGATATTCTCTTCCTGCATTCTTCTGTGTGATTCCAATGTTTCAATTTAGGATTCCGGCTCCTGACCATAATGTCTTGAATTGGTTCACAAGTATTGGCCTTAAAGAGCATGAAAGTGATACTCGTTTCAGCGCATTTCTCATTGCATTGTTCGAGAGGGTATCCAACGTCATTGGACAAAAAGTATCATCGCCCCTCCTTCTGTGCTCTTACCGGCTGAGAAGTCAGCGGCATTAATGGACTATCCTAAATCCCTTGCCGGGCAGTTTCGACTTTTTATGACAGTTGGACAGCGGTTTGGACAGCGAGCTCCTCTATGTGTGCAGTTTTATGCGGAGGTATTGACCAGAGCGGAGGAGGCAAGTCCCTGTTTTGTGTCGCTGCTGGGTCACTTACAGTCGAGGCAGCTATATTCAAATAATAGCCGATGACTCCTTCAAAACAGAAAGGAAGTTCGTGACAAACACAAATGGTATTCCCCATTACTTCCCTAAACATGGTCTTGGATAGTTAATGGGGGTCGGCAAATGAAGGGAGAGGTCCGAGAAATTAAAAGTAGCACGTGATTTAAAAATATGGCCATTGCGCCCACCCGAAAGCCACTCCATTTAACCACACAACTTCTACTAAGTGTTATATAATTATTGCCCGATAATAATATTAAAATGCATATGTGGTATGGGAACTTACTTTGAGGCGGGTTTGTACATAACTACAGTATGTTGGAAATTCACAACCTTTTCTCACGCATCAGTGGGATTTTCGAAAATCTGACTGACCAAAACCTGCATTCACCCCCATAGAGCAATTAGGCCAAGTTTGAAGCAAATTGAAGTGGCGGAAAGGTACATTCCACTGCTCTGAAGCTGAGATGGATATGAGCCCTAACTCTGTGCAATGTATGTCTATACTCATGTAAAGACTGCACGTAAAAATATCCAAATGTGGCTATGATACTCCCCGGAAGTTTGGGGCTGTCACATGCAGTAATCACAGAGCTATGGGGATATGCAACAAAATACATGCTCATGCACAGGGAATATCTTTTGAACTAAGCCGAATTTTAAAAATCTGAGTGACCAAATGTTAGGCACATAACACATCTACCAGCATGCCAAAATTCGAGCAGAATGGAGGGGGTTGAAGGTACATTTGGGACTCACCTTTCCCAAAATGCACGATAGGCGCAAATAGGGATCACGTGTCAGGGTTTCACCGACCCCGCGCTTAACTTGACTTTGACATCTAGTTCTCTTATTAGAATATCAACATTATTTACATCAAGGAATTGGTGGGTGTCGTGTGGCAAACGCTTTGGGGCATTATGAGGCACTTTGGCACTTTTGTCCAACTCAAAACTCCGTTGTGCGATGATGTTGCCACACAGTGATGTCGCATATATAAGGGAGCAATTTTTTTTGGGACTTTCTCCCTCAGATCTCTAGTCAGAGTCTGAGGTGAGAACAATACCTTTTATTTTATATGTTATAACTCATGTATTACTCACTGTCAGGGGACATAGCGTAAGCGGTTCTCTGTTACCCTATCGATATCGCGTAAGACTATATCACCACATGTAGCCGCATCGGCCCTCATATATCGTAAATCCCTCACCTTCTCCTGATCCGACTCTGCCCCCTGATCCGAGTGTTCCTTCATCTCTATTCACTTTGTTTTCTATCGGATCATTGTTTAGTTCCTTTGATCCTATCTCTTCTGATTGATTGATGTCACTCGTGTATATAGCTCTATGTGCCGCTGAGGGTTGGAACCTCAGCTTTGTCTACGACTAGGTTTTCGGGCGATATTCGACTCGGACTGACGAGCGATCCCTGACACTCACGTTGCAGACTTGCACGACTTAGGTACATATAATACATAGATCTCTAGTCAGAGTCTGAGATTACGCAACTTAGTCTTATCATTTCTAATATCTTTTGCTGCTTTGGGTAGGCTTACATCGGGCTATCCAAGAAAGCGGCCAAACAGCAACTTGACACTCATCGGTACCTTCATCCTGATGATTAGGAAATACCGAAGGCTGGCATCTTTATATTGAAGGTCAGAAGAAAGTGCTTACACGAATAGCCAGCAAGTACTCAGCTCCAGCAACTGCTGGATGGAGATCGAGAGTGATCGTGCTTGATTACACACAGCTCAAAGACCCATTTATGCAGTCATTTTTGCATGTAGATAACCGACAATCAATATTTTGTTCTTGTTCCCCGAGTTTTAACATAGTTTGCAACCTAAAGATGAGGTCTTGGGAGAGGGAGGACAGCATGGCCACGATCGAGCCAAGTTTTGCTTATGTAAGTGTCACAAGGTCACAACCTTGTTGCCAACCCCCATAGTTAATCTTGAGTTTTAACAAGATTGGGTCCATTATTTCGTAAATAATGGAAAAACTACTTGCCTTTTATGGAAATAAATACTTGCATTAAATTCTACAGCATCATCATAGCTTTCTGTTCCATATTTTATCATAATTTTAGGATAACTATAACTGTGGTAAAATCGGTTTTCTACCCAAGATCCTCCAAGATTAATAGAAAACCAGTTGTGGGATGCTTTTCAGGTGCACAGACCTGTACTGTGCAAGTATAAATACTAGGCAAAAAGGGCTGATGAGTCCCCCCAGACGAAAGTCCCCTGTGTTCCAGTAGGAGCAAGGGTCTCCTCTTTCTGCCTGCAATTTCAGCCCAGGACAATTACTGTCTTATTACAACCCAACCCTATTTGTTCGTATGCGTCCGACATATTGATATCGATCTTGGATCGGTATGTTGCTCTGGTGACTGATTCTTGGATCAGTCGCATGTCTGGCATTGGTGTGATGTTGAGGATTGTGTTTGAGTTACGTTTCCTCGTGTCTATTACTGTGTGCAAAGATCCATCTGCTTTGCAGATACACAGTAGTGGGCATGCTCGCTCGCTGCTTGTGGGATACCACCATCCTGCTTTTACATAGCGATCTATTTTGGTCACTAGTGCTTCCTGCAGTGCTGCAGGACATCTTGGGGTGTTTTCCCGAAATTTCTTGTTTGGATCCTTTAATGGGATTCAATTGAGGGAGGCATTTCTAATGGCACTGGCGCCATTACAGTTTCAAATTTCTCTCTCCACCACTCCCTGAGTATTTCGAACTCAGGGTTGATCATGGAGAGACCTTCCAGATGTGGTATGTCTGGAAGTTCTAGTCCTTCCAGACTAGGATTGGGCCAACCTTCAGGGTACTTTCTTTCGATTACCCTGAGGTATGTTTTAATCCCACCTCCCTGTCAGGGGGGCTTCTTTTTTGGTTGTTCTCGAGCTCTTGCTCGAGTTTTCCATCCATGTGATCTCGTCACACAGTCTTCACTGACTCCAAGGGTATCTATGTTGCCCTTGTTCACCATTCTCACTTTGTGGGACCAGAAGTCTAAACTTACCTGGTTTTTGTTTAACCAGGGGGTGCTGAATATGGCATCGTATCTATTGATGTTAATCACATCAAAGTAGTGTTTTTCTATGTGGCCGTTGATCTCAATGTCCACGTTTGTTCCAAACAGGATCTGTAATCTTGTTCCTTTTGTCCCCATTTGAAGGATGACTGGGTTCTCCAATTGGAGAATTGGGATATGGACCACGCAGACAAAGTCCGGCGATATAGTGTCTGTTTCGGCTCCACTGTCAAATAGCACATAGGTTTTTATGCCTGCTATTTTTATATGAGCTGTCAGCGTTCTCTTTGGTGGGGGCAGTCTGTTTGTGGGGTATTTTCCTGTGTCTTTTGAGATGCAGAATTTCACATCAAACAAGGGGGTCTGGGTTTCAATGGACTTTTGGTCCTTCTTCCCTTTCTCCTTGTTTTCCTTGGGTACTTTGGTGTGTTTCCCCAAGGCGTCTTTTCTTGGTGCTTCCACCAAGGCTTCGGTGACTTTCTTGTCTGCCATGTTTTCTAACTGGCATGCTACAGCCAGTTTGATTTTATAATTTATGTCATCATGATCGATGACTGACATTGGGCCCATCCTTATGGTCCCAACGTTGACTTCCTCACCCTCTGAGTCGGGTGAGTATTGAGGTCCTTTGTATGGGTCCTCTACTTCGAAGCTTGATGCTCCGGAGTTACCAGAGTTGTTCTCTGGTTTTTCGTCTGATGAGTCTTCCAACTCTTCTTCTGATGCATTCACAATCTCCATGGCAGCTATGCGCCTTGGTTTTTCATCGCTGATTGCATTATGTTTTGGGCAATCTTTTGTTTTCCCTATTTTGCTGCATTTGCCACAAATTGGAACTGACTTTTGGTCAGTTTTCCTCGAGTTTTTTGAGGATGTATCCTCTTTCCATCTGGATTTCGGCTCTTCAGCCTTCTTTCCTGATGGGAGAGCTCTACCGTGGCTCATGGTTGCCATGGTGGTTGTTCGGGTATAATATCCCAATTTGTAGGCTGAAGACATCTTCAGCCCGTCAATTATCTTGTCTACACAAGATATTGCTTTTAGCATCTCCTCATTTGAGGAGAAGTCCACTCTGATTCTGTCATGAGCGATCATTTCCCCCTTCCATTCGAGGGGAATGTAGTTTAGGAACCTGGCGTTGAAGGATGCCTGGTCTGGTGGCATCACCATCTGGGATGCTGCTTTAGACAGTTCTAAGTAGAACTGTTTTAGGCCTTTTTCCGCTTTGTATTTAATGTTGCAGTACTTCTTTGTCACGTTCAACGTGGCAGAGGCTTTAATGAAGGTTCTCATCAATATGTTGAGAACTTTGAGGAACATACCCTCATCTCCTCTGAGGAGAGTTTCGTCTCGGAGTCTTATTCCGAGGTTGAACACAAGTCCCCC